GATTTCTGTCTAAGACAAAACCCTAGCGGAGGGTTTTGTATAACACCTCCTTATCCAACCCCCCGTAACCCTGCGCTGCAGCAGCAGCAGCAGCAGCAGCACCAACAGCAGCAGCAGCAGCAGCAGAGACGACAGCAACACGAATCCTATAAAGGATATACCTGCGTATACACCGTAAACCCTCTTCCTAAACCCTGGGGTTTAGAGGGGCCATGGGGTTATGAGAGTTTTCTTATTAAGAGGAAAAAACATAAACCCTTATCTATACCTATACCTAGACACGAAACCCTAAACCCTAAACCCTAAACCCTAAACCCTAAAATATTTTATTAAAACCCCAAAAACAAAGACCATCTTTTTTGTATCAAGACATGATTTTTATGTTTGTCTAGCTAGCCAGCTAGCTAGCTAACTAGCTAGCTAGTTAAATAGCTAAATATCTATCTATATAACTAGCTAAATAAATAAATAAATAAATAAATAAATGGCTAGTTAGCTAGCCAGTAGAGGGAAATGCTGCACAACTCTTCTTAACTATTTGTCTCGCTGCGTAGGCAGAGGCTCTCCTCGCCAGCTAGCTAGCTAGCTAGCTAGCTAACCAGCCAGCTAGCTAGCTAGGAGGACTAGCTAGGAGGACTAGCTAGCTGTCTAGCTAGCTAGCTAGCTAGACAGCTAGCTAGCCGTGTTATTCCTTAGAGACTTTGTCTTGGCTAGTTGTATCCTTAAACCCTTTTGCTCGGTAAACCCCAAGGGCTTGTAAGTCCGCAGCACGAGGAGGAGAAACACTAATATTGCCTGCATGCACATAAACCCTAAACCCTAAACCCTAACCCTAAACCCTAACCCTAAACCCTTAAAAAGGACCAGAATCCTTTAGACCCCAATAAACCCTTAAACCCCTAATACCGCATCCTATATAAACCCTTATATAAAGGGAACTAGTGTCTGCGTGCTTCCCTTCCCACTACCCGCTAGGGTTTAGGGTTTAGGGTTTAGGGTTTAGGGTTTATACCTTCAGCAGCATCTCTTTCTGCCCATAATTCCTCTAATTCTCTTTTTAGGGTTTTCTCCTCCCTCTCTAACCATTGGGGTTTAGGATAAAACACTAAACAACCACGAGCCCTCATCTTCTCTAAATAATGTATCGCCTCTAAACCAGGACGAGCCTATACAAATATATAAACCCTAAACCCTAAACCCTAAACCCTCAAAAACCCTAAACCCTCAAAAACCCTAAACCCTAGAAGACCCAGGGGAAGAAAGCACCCTTCTTATAAAACCGCAATTCCAAAAACCGAAACCCTAAACCCTCAATTCCAACCCAAAAACCCTAAACCCTGATTTCCAAACCCTAAACCCTAAACCCTAAACCCTAAACCCTAATTTTTTTTTCTTACAGTTTTGGGTAGTATACAGAATTTATAGGGTTTAATATGTGCCCTTAAATTAATAGGGTGTCTATACACCACACGAATTTGTCCACCAATTCTATTTATTGCGTTTATTGATGATTGATCTGCAGATGATACTTCTATTGTTATTTTATAGGGGAAGGGATAGTCATTCTGTTAACAACAAGGAGACAAATTAATTTATTAATTAATTAATTAATTAATTAATTAATTAATTAATTAATTAATAGACAGATAGATACATTAGTGGTAACGAAGACAAAAGGAGGAGGAGACAAGAAAAGGAGACAAAAGGAGACACGAGGAGACACAAGGAAACAGCAGAGGGGGAACACTACCTACCTAGCTGGCTAACTAGATAGCTAGCTAGGTAGCCAGCTAGCTAGCTAGGTAGCTAGCTGGGTAGACTATTGACTTACAACATTGAATAGATGGACACCATTGCGTACACGAACACAACCCGAGTCATGAAGATGTCTCTGTGTAATTGGGTACCTGAATATATACACAAACCCTAAACCCTAAACCCTAAACCCTAAACCCTAAACCCTAAACCCTAATCCAGGCATTAAAGACTTACCGATGATCAAGTCTTCCTTGCTCTAAAAATCGCCGCACCTTCGCCAAGTTTAGAGGCTCCCATCGTTTCCTTCGTCTGTAGAATAAACCCTAAACCCTAAACCCTAAACCCTAAACCCTCACGAAGTCTTCCGAAAGAATGAATGGGTATCAAGACCCCTCAATGTGTATTAGGGTTTAGGGTTTAGGGTTAATAAGAAGTATGACATGCTCTCTACCTTTAGGGTTTCTCCTCAGTTTTCTCTAATTACCTACCTAAAGTTTAGGGTTTAGGGTTTAGGGTTTAGGGTTTAGGGTTTACCTTCCTAGCCAAGCTTGTGGCCATTTAGGTAATCGTCTATAAAGAGGGGTTTCTCCTCCCTCGAATGTTTTGCTCCTTGGTCCCCCAAACCTCCCTTGTTTATCCCTTTTTAGTCTTATTCCTTTTGCGCTACTTTTATCTCCTCTTCCTCTTCTTCTTTTCTTCTTCCTTAAACCCTAATCATATTACACATATATATATATATATA